CACCACCACCACCACCACCACCACCGCAACCCCCATCCCCCCACCCACAAGACGACCACCGCATCATTGACCCATCAGCACACCATCAGCAACAAAACCTGAAACACGTGTTCGGGACAACGGTCGGTCCGTACACACCCACACGGTGCCGGAAGGCATGTTCCGGAATCCCTCCTCCCCTTGTAACAAATCCCCCTCCTCCCCCCCTCCTTCACACCTCGGCCCTCGCGTGCATTTCGACACACACACACATACAGACATACGCCACAAAAACACTGGACCCCCTTCTCGGTGGTCGTTGGCATCTTCTTGCGGAGGAGCAGTAGGAGGGGGAGTGCCAGCAGCTGGTGTACCACTGGTGTACAACTACTTGGTGCAAACCTTGTCGGAGAATCGCGGACTGGTGCCGAACTGGGGGAGTGGAATACATAATAGATTTGTGTGGAGGGGAGGGGAGGCGGATGAGTGCTGGATGGGTGCTGGGAGAGTGCTGGGAGAGGTAAAAAGGTAAGAAATACCACACCCCTCGCTCCCTCTTCACCCCTCTCCCCCACCCCTCCGTCCCTTTTCTTTTCCCCCTTCCCCTTCCCCTCGACCCCCGCTCCGTACCTTGGGCGCCACCTTGGCTGTGAACTTGGCGCCGCTGCCCAGACCCCCCGTCTCCGCCACGTTGTAGCAGCCCGGGCCCGGAGAGGCCGTGCCGTACCCCTCCGCGGCCGCATGCATACTGCGGGGGGGGGGGAAAGGAGGGGCGGAAAAGGAGGCAGAATCTTAATATGTCTGTTTATCTGTCTGTGTGTCTATCTGTCTGTCTGTGTGTCTGTCTGTAGGTATGTATGTGTTTCACCACTCTAAAACCTCCGGGTAACTCACTGGGAGATGTAGATCTTGGACCCGGCATCTCGACTCGAAGTGCCGAACCGTGTGCCGGTGGCGGTGGAGACAGCCCCGGAGGCGGGGGGGTTGTCGTAGCACCCCGGCCCGGGGGACTCCGTACACATACCCTCCTGGGCGTGCAGGGGCCCGTGGTACCTGCGTGGCCGTGTGTGTGTGTATGCGTGTGTATGCGTGTGTTTGGTGGGCGGGGGGAAGGGCGGGGGGATGACGGGGTAAAGAGGTGACCGGGAAGAGACACCCGGTCGGCAGGAGGAGGCGGAGGAGGGAGGTGCGAGAGTACCCGAGCTGAGCGCCACAGCGGCCTTGCAGTCTTAAACACCCTACCCAGCCCCTCTCCCCCCACACACATACACCCCCTCCCCACACACCCTTACCCACACACACCCTTAACCACACGGACCTGTTCGAAATGACGGTTCCCTCTTGCTTGGCTCGCTCCCGCACACCGAAGGAGAAGCCCTTCTTCAGCGCACTGCGGTCCCGGGGGTCCTCCGGGCGCCCGTATGCGTCCGGGGCGGGGGTGCTGGTGCGGGCCACGTGGCTCAGCCGACCGGCTGGGGGAGGGGGGGAAGGGGGGAGGGGGAGTTGCGGGCGCGGGGGGGGGACAGGGGGGGGGAAAGAGGGGGGAGAGCACGCACGACACAAAACACATGGCACGACATGACACGGGCACAACAGGGACGAGAGTACTCAGCACTTCCTCTCACAGCCCCTCCTCAATCCTTCGCAGCCGGGAAGGACTCATCGGAGGATCCCCACCCGCAGCCGCAGATTACTATTATTATTATTATATATCACAATTCAATGTAATTTAATTCAATATCATATTAATAACAACAATAACATTAATATGAGATTTGGTGGCCTTGTTGAGGACACCCCCTTCTCTCTCTCTCTGTCTCTCATTCTTACACACACAACACACACATAATTTCACGCATGTGCACGAGGAGGAGGCGGAGGAGGAGGCGGAGGAGGAGGAGGGGCTGAGTTGGCACAGGTCTTGAGTGGAGCTGGCCAGCGGTGTGTTTTAACTGTGTACGTGAAGGGTGTGTGTGTGTTGGGGGGGGAAATGAGGGGGTGCGGGAGCCCTGAGGCTCGCGGCCTCACAGCCGGGGGAGGGGAGGGGGAGGTGGGGAAAGGATGACGAGGAAGACGGGTTGGGAGGAAGGAGGACGAGTGGCGGGTGACGATCAACAGAGGGGATGAGCAGAGGCGAGGGCAGCTGGAGAGGTGTCTAGGAAGGGGTGTCTGGAGAGGGGTGTTGCGCGAATGGATGTAGGTAGGGTAGCTGTGCGGTAGATGCTGGTGGGGTGGAGGTAGGGGTGGTCGAACACCTTCACGGTTAGCCCCTGGGAGGGCGAATGGGGCTGGTGTTGCTCATGCATTGCACATGTGTTGGCAGTGTTGGGAAGGGACCGGCCGTGTGGTAGCCAGCGGGCTGCTGCGGTTGTTTTGGAGCACTGGTGCCGTACGTGTCTTGTACTTGTCGTACACCGTTGTACACAGGAAAACCATTGGTAGAAACTTTTATCTCTCTCTGCGAATTGGAACCGATTTTTGGAAAGTAATTTATCTTCGTATCGTCCTCTTGGCCTTCAGTGTGGACTTCAGTTGTACAGAGTTCAGCACGCGGGCCGAGAGAGACTGTACTGATGTACGACAGTCCTGCGGCGTATCGTACATCGATGCAATTTCCGGATCCTGGACTCTTGTTCCTGCTTGGTCCTGCTTGGAAAGAGAGTCCCTCTGTCTGTCTGTCTGTCTGCTTTTCTGTAAAATTTTGCAAATTTCTGTGTAATCCTTCGACTAATGTTTTCTTCTTGTTCTTCTTTTTCTTCAACCACCTCCACCGCCATCTTCTTCATCAAACTCACCAATCGGCTGTGTTGTTGCACTGATTGCTGCAGAGGATTAACATTTGGAATAAATAAGGCGGAGAAGGGGGGACGATGAGAATGCAGCTTGGTGTGGGGGTGGGGTGGTGGGGTGGGGTGGTGGGTGAAAGAGGACCTGGTGCGGCCACAAACGCCGCTCGAAGCCACGAAAGGAAAGACCTGGACCAGACACCCCATATCCCTCATCATCATCATCGCCACACACACCTCACAAACTGGCGATCAAGAGGGTTTACCCACCTCACCTCACTTCACTTCACTCACAATCTCCCCCCTGCCGCTCCCCTCTTTCTTTCCCCCTTACCAGGCGCCGCTCCCATGGAATAGCTCGGGGCGCTGGTGTTGTTACTGGCACTGCGGGGGGTTACGGGGGGTTACAAAACACACAGGTGGCCACACGGGGAGGGGGGAAGAGGGAGGGGAAGGGGGGGAATGACATGGTTAGTGGCAGTGAGGACCCGAGAGCCGTCACCATTCAGAACTACACACCACCCGCATCCCCCCCCGGATACGAGTGGGGGTTGGGGCGAGGGGTGGGAAGGGGGGAGGGAGGGGATAAAGACGAACCACAGACGAAGGGGGAGGGGGGTTGTTCACGTGCGATTGTGACACACAGATACACAGACACACATCCACACACAGACACACCCACATACAGACACATACGGGCTCGCAAACGGCCCCGCACCCGCACCCCCCCTCTCTCCTCCCCTAACCTCCTCCCCACCCCGCCCAGGCCTAGGAGAAGAACCCACGCCACACCGCCACCCACCCCCCCACGCACATACCTATACCTATACCTATAAGATATACATACATATACCTATAAGACAAACACACACACATATGCACAAAGAAATATTACCGGTCCGGATTAGGCAACGAGTACGCCGCAGGTCCCGGCGTGTTGGGACTAAATGCCGCCCAGTCCGTCCTCAGATTCGCGCCCATGGAGAAGGAGGCGGCGGTGGGCCGAACAGACGCTGCGCCGAAATTCGGGTTGTGGGCGCCCGGCCCCGGCACCTCCACCTCGTTTGGTTTCGGAGTGCGGGAGGGAGTGGCGGGACCGAACTTGGCTCCCCCCGCGGGTTGCAGACACGAGGCGGCGGGGTAGGCCCCCGGGCCGGGGGAGTCAATACCCTTGTGCGCGTCCTCGTGCAGCCTGGAGCGGCGGGGGTGGGGGTGGGGGTGGGGGAATATATAACATTCAATAAATAATAATAATAATAATAATAATAATAATAATAAAACAGTAATAAAATGATAATGATGATTTTAATATTATTAATGTCATAAGACTTGTGTGTCCAAAGAACGTCTTTTAGGGCGGGGCGAAAAAGGGGCGCGGGGGGGGGGAGAATAATACATTGCGTAAGGGGTTGCGATCGCACGGGGCGTAGCCGTTTCCCCGCCCAGTAAAACACGAAAAACCCTTACCGGTCCCTCGAGTATATAATACACTTGTATATATGTATATATACGCACAAACAGACCTGGAAAAAACAGTGGCCGCCCCGTGGGTCCCTCACCTGCCGATATAAGGCCCCTTCGAGTTGCCGCCCTTCTCCGGGTTGTAGTGCGCGGGGCCGCGAGGAAAGACGGTCACCTGGGACGGTGGCGGCATGCTGGGGATGTCGTACATTGCCCCAGGTGTCTGGAGCGCCGTACTGACAGTCGAGTCCGCCTGTAACGGTAAAGACGGTTGCGCGATGGCGGCGTCTACGATCAGCGGTGTGTAATAGGGCGTGAAACGGCACTGGGGGACCAAGATTAGGGGTATTTAAAAACACACACGTACACTCCTACCCTTCCCCCCACCACTCTTACCCCACCCCCCACCCCCACTAACCCATACCAATACGCCATACATGAGCGGCGATACAGCGGTCACCATTTTGTTACCCCCCTGCCTTCTCGTTCCACAGCCTTCCCCCTCTCCCCCCCTCCCCCTTGCCCCCTTTTTTCCCCTCCCCCCCCCGTCTCACCGCCAGTTGTTGCGGAGTGAGGTGCGCCCTGGTGGCGGCCTCTC